AGGAGGGCAAGGGCGGCCAGGCCGCACCACAGAGCTTGGTGGACAAGCAGCGCTCGGAGACTACGAGGTTGAAGGCTCAGCTCGCCACGCCCGGCAAGGCTGGCGCGAAGGGCGACGAGTCCGGCCGCCCGCCCAGCGGCAAGTAAGCCCCCCCCCTTCCACATGGTCGCGCAGCGGGATCTTCTGCCCGCGCCGCTGCGCGCTGCGTCCGCGACCCTCGAATCGTCGAGCCTCGATGCTCTCGCGGCTCCGAGACGCGGCCGCCGACGACGGACTGTTCAGAACGCTTCTGTCAGCTCTTGGACGTTGGAGTGCTTGGCCGTCAACTGGCTGGGCGGCAAGGAGGGCAGCCCCGACTTCGATCCCCTTTCTCTCTGGCAGCGCGCGGGCGTCTTGGACCTGCGGAACCGCCTGGCTCCATTGGGCCCACCGCCTGTCAGCTCGGCGGCGGCTCTGGGCGGGCCGTGCCGCAGCGCCCCGGGCTGCCTCGGGCGGCCTGCGAAGCCAGCCACGTTCGCCGTTGACTCGGTCGCCCTGCCGCTGGACGGCGTCAAGCGCAAGCCTGGCGAGCGACTCGCGGCGCGACTGGAAGGCCAGACTATTGCGCCCGAAGCAGGAACGTTCCTCGGCAATTCGCCCGCACTTCGGCGAAGTTCTGCGTCGAGACAAGTTGACTTACTGCGAGTTTTTGAGGCGCCTCCTCAAGGCTGGGACGATAGCCTTCGGCGAGGACGCCGCCTGCACGATCGCACCCTTCCACGTGGCGAAGTCTGACGGGAGACGCCGACTGGCCCTGGACACGAGGAAGGCTTTCTCCCACTTCAACGACCCCGCCACGGCGGAGCTGCCGACGGCTGGCGTTTGGGGCGGGCTCCGCACCCGTGAGTCCGACGAGCTGGTGGTCGAGCAAGTGGACATCGAGGCTGCCTTCTACCGCGTGGGGGCGCCAGAGGGATTATCCGACTTCATGGTCTTGCCCAGCGCCCCCGCGTCGGACTTGGCGCAGATCGACCCCTCGCCGCCTGCGGGGGGGGCCGCGGGAAGCGGACCGCTCCCAGATTGCTCGCGCTGCCGATGGGCTGGACTCGGTCTCTCTGTCGCCCCGGCACGCGCCTCGAAGGCGGGCTTCCGCGAGAAGGACATGATCAGCGACAAGCACGCGGTGAAGGACGTTCCCATCAGCCCCGCGGTCGCCGCCCACGCCGACGGCGCGGCCGTGATCGGCGTGAATCGGCAGCAGGCGCGGGGCGGCATCTCCGCGGTCAAGCGCGAGCTGGAGGCCAGTGCGCTGCGCTGAAAGGGCATCACCGCCGCGACGGACGAGCAGATCTCCGCGGGCCTGGTCTGCCAGCGGGTTTCGGGCGAGGTTCGCCTGTCTTCAGGCCGCTTGCAGAAGATGCGCCTCGCCTTGCTGGAGCTCGCGTCTCAGGAGTACGTGTCGGGGCGGGCGGTGCCCCAGCTCGCCGGCCACTATAACTGGGCCGCGCCCCTGATGAGGCCCCCCCATCTCCGTCTTCAGCGCTGCGTATCGGTTCGCGCGCAGGGCGGGGGGCGACGCGCGGCGTCTGTGGCCCGACGCGGCCTCCGAGCTGCGCGCCGCGGGCGCTTTGCTGGGCTTGGCCTTCCTCAACACGAGGCGCCCCATCGACCCCGTCGCGACGGGCGCGGGCGCCTCGACGGGCGACGGCGACCCTGAGGGCACGCTCTTCGGCGGCTTCGGCTTCACGGAGCGCCCCTGGCCCTCCGAGGCGGTGTGGGATGCCGCCAGACGCTCGGAGCGCTGGCGCTACCTCGTAGCGGGCGCCGCAGCAGCTCGCGAGCACACCTTCTCGAGCCAGCTCGCGGCGGGCTTCGAGCAGGTCAACCACGACCTCGACGATGACGATCCTCATAGAGCACCGATTGGATCGCGCGAAGAAAGGGCCCCCGACGCTCCGACCACTGACCGCGCGACGCAGGGCGACTTCGCGGGCCTCGCCGCCAGCTTGGTCTTCCCGCTGGGCGCCTGGACCTCCGCCCTCTTTGGGCGCTGGGCTCGGCCTGAGAACATCCCGGGGCTCGAGGGAAGGGGGGCCCTGCTCGGGGTTCGGCGGCGGCGCAGAAACATCCGATCGAGAGAAACGCTACAGCAATTACTCTGCGACAGTATGAGCCTCGTTTTGGCGTTGGTGAAAGGAAGAGCGCCGCCCCCCCTCTCAATTCCTCCTGTCGAGAGTTGGCGGCGGTGTGTTCGTTCAGCGACTCCACCGCAGCCGCCCGTTGGCTCCCGAGCAAATGGAACAGCAGCGACAAGGGTGCTCGCATTGTGGCCCCGCCCGCGGGCCGCTTCGAGCTGGACCCCCGCGGCGCCGGCAAGGCCAGCGCCGCCTTCGAGAGGGCGACCCTCGAGGGGGCCAAGCGCCTCGACTGCCACGAGTTCGACCCAGGTGGCAAGCGCAAGTACAACCGCTTCGGCATCCAGAACAACCTGGGGGAGAGCGGCGCTGAAGCCTGGGGCCGCATCGCCTATGACGGGTCAGACGACGGCTTCGACGTCGAGAGCTTCCACGCGCCGCGGGGCGGCAGAGGGGCGGCCGGCGCCGGCGCCCCGTCGCTCTCCGACCGCAACGTTCGCAATTTACGCACTGCGGGGAAGGCCCGCCAAGCGCCGCTGAAGGCCGAGAGGGCGAAGCTGCGAGCGCTCGCCGCCGACGGCATGGCCGAGGCCGCCGATTCTGGGCCGACGCACTTGCAGCATACACGCCCAAAAGGAGCAACACGGAGAATCTACCTGACGATGGTTACCCCGTTCTTGACGTGGGCCAATCTCGAGCCCCTGAAGCTGATCGCCCCGGACCGCCTCGACTTGCTGCTCGCCCACTACCTGGGCCACCTGTGCTGGGAGAGGGGGCTCGGGGAGACGGGATCTCGGCTGTCGGCGGCGATCCAGCACTACAGGCCAGACTTGCCCAAGGCCAAGTTCGGCGGGCCCCCTCAGGCACGAGCGGCCCTGCGCGGCTTTCGCCGCAGAGGGTTCGCGGGCTCGTTCGATCCCATCCCGAAGCCAATGATGTTCGCCATGATCGGGGGCAGCATCCTCACACAGGACCTGGAGTTCGCGGCCGCCCTGGCGATCTCGTGGGACGCGATGCTCCGCCTGCCGAGCGACGCGCTGGCGATGGCCCCCGAAACCCCCGCGGGCCCAGGGCGCGGGGCGCACCCCAAGTGGGCCTTGTTGTTGTACCCGAGAGAGGTAGCCACTCGAAGCAAGACTCTAGGTTGCGACGAGGGCGTGGTCCTTCGGAGCGTGCTCTGGCAGCAGGAGGGCGCCTCCTTCCTCGCAAAGCTCCGCGCCGCGCGGCGCCCGATGGAGCCGCTCTGGAGCTTCACGCCGAACACGTTCAAGATCAAGTTCGCGCAGTACTTCATGCTGGTCGGTTACGACGAGAACGTCATCCCCTACCAGGTGAGGCACCGAACGGCATCGCACGCGGTGGCCATCGACCGAGTCCCGTTGGCGGAGGCCCAGTCCATCCTCAGGCACTCGGACCCACAGTCGGTCGCCAGGTACGCCAAGGAGGTCAGGTACCTGTCACTGCTGAACAGGGTGCCCGAGTGGATGGCCTGCTTCACCGAGGAGGTCGAGGCCAAGCTGGGCCAGCTCTTGCTGAAGCAAATCGTCCTGAAGACCCAGAGAGAGCTCCGAGCGAGGATCTAGAGGCCCTCCGCGAGGTTGCTCGCGCAGGCCGCCTGTGCCGTCAACACCGCGGCTCGCTGATCCTAGAGCTCGGCTTTTCTTGCGGCAGGCTGGCCAGAGCCGTCCCGAACATCACGGATCCCGGTGCCTTGTGGATCAATGTCAAGTACCTGTCGCCACCGCTCCTGAGGCGCCGACTGGTGGGCTGGATCTCATCACGTTCGATTTCGGCTGCGACGCTGACCTGGCCCGCGACGCCGAATTCTGAAGCCTCTTTTCATATTTGCACGCTGTTCCGTGCAGCCCGAAGCGCGAACTTGCCTGTCATCTGTTTGTTGGCTTCCGCTCCGACTAGCCTGCAAGATGCTCAGATCCGCCTATTGTTACAGCAAGCGGACGGTCGCGTTCGCTGCATTTCGCCTTGCACGCTAGGGAGGGGGGGCATGCATCGTTCAACGCACTGTGCTTGTTACGGCCTCGGATGGCCGCCCGAGTGTGGTGGTCCATGCAGATGCAAAATTGGTGCTCGAAGTCCAGTGCCTGTTTCACCGTTCTTGCACTTCGGAATTCGGATGTCAGCCAGCCTCATCAAGTGTATTGCCGAGGGCCTCTCCCGACGTGAAAGCGATCCGTTTTGTCACATGAACGGCCAGAGAGCCAGCTATGGGCAGTTGGGGCGATGCGCCAAGGCCCTTCGATCTTCGTAGCAACCTGTCGCCTGTACCATCGACGTTCGAAAGAAAAGTGCATCTCTGAGTCTTTCGACGCTCCGTCTGGCCACGGTTCAGGGAGAGGGGATACGGCATCATCATCAGCAGCATCATCCTCCTCATCATCATCATCATCATCGTCATCATCATCAGAACCATCACCACCAGAACCATCATCATCAGCATCATCATCAGTATCATCATTATCATCGTTATCCCTTGCCCTCCTCCTCCTCGTCCTCCTCGTCCGCTTCCCCCCCCTCCTCCTCATCAGCGCGCCGCCCGCCTTCGGGCCAGCAGGAGGGTCGGAGCTCCGTCACATCTTCGCCTTCAGGGGCCCCTCCTCCCCCTCTCCCCCCTCCCTCCACTCCACCTCACCCCATGCTTCCTCCGTCCGTCCTACCTCGCCTCCGTCCTCCCCCGATTCCGTCCTCCTTCGCCTCCGTCTTCCGTCGCTTCCGTCGCTTCCGTCCTCCACCTGGGGCCCCCCTCGCGCCCCGGAGAGGCAGAGAGACAGAGCGACAGAACCGCGGGGTGGCGGGGAGGCCCCCGCGCCGGGGCGCCTCGTCGCCGCCGCCTCCCTCAGCGGCGACGGGTGGCGCTGGCGGCGGTGGGCGCTGGCGCACCGCACCGTCGCCCGCGCCCAGGCCGACGCCGAGGAGGGGGAGGAGAGCGATGCGGGACGCCGAGGCGACGGAGGAGGAGGAGGAAGAGGAGGAGGAGGCGGAGGCGGAGGCGGAGGCGGAGGCGGGAGCAGAGGGAGGTGCGAACCAAAGGTGCATCAACGATGTTGGAATGTGCCCTCCCCCAAAAGCTCCTTCCGAAACGGCCCTAAGCAAGGATTCAGCATTCCTAGGATGTCAACACTGCGGATTAAAGTAACTGCTGCGCCCTGGTACTCCTAAATCGTTCCACAACACCTTTACTGGTACGTTAATTATGGAAACCAGCAAAACTCACGCAATGTGTTTCAATGAATGTGCGAGGCGCTAAGAAGAGACCCACAGTTTGAAAAAGAACCAGCCTCAGTCCGTGAAACTTTTGCAACTGTTCAAAAGCAAAGTTCGCGGCGCTAAAGCGAGAGCCACATTTTGAAAACGAATTGCATTCAATCCGCGAAGCTCTTGCAAATATTTAAATCTAATGTTCGCGGCGCTAAGGCGAGAGCCACATGTTGAAAAAGACCCACCCCAAAACCATGAAACTCTTGCAACTAATTCAAACGAGTGTGCGCGGCGCTGAGGCGAGAGCGACCATTTGGAAGCGACCCGCCCTCCATCTGTGAAACTGCTGTCAATTATGAAGCTTGAGGCTCATGAATGGTAAGGAAGTCTCAGGCGAAACGCCTGGCCCGCCATTCCCGCCGGCCCCAGGGTGCGACAGGGAGGAGTTGTTCTTAAGGAAGAGGACTGGAGGAGGAGGAAGAGAAGGAGAAGGGAGGAGGAGGAGAAGGGAGGAGGAGGAGGAGGAGGAGGAGGAGGAGGTAGGTGGAGGGAGGGAGGGACGGAGGGAGGGAGGAGGAGGAGGAGGTGAATGAGAAGGGGGGAGGAGCAGAAGGAGGAGGATAGGATAGGACAGGACCGATCGCGAAGTGAAGCAGCGACACCTGAACAACACGACACGAGCCGCCGCAGCAGCAGAGGGGAAGGGGGTGGTGGTTCCTGTACTCGAAGAGCGGGCGCGCGCGCATGCGTGGGGCGTCGCACGCGCAGCCGCTCCGACCACCGACCCCCTCGCTGCACCCCCGGTACCGCCACCAAGCTCGGTCTTGGCTGAGGCTCGTGTTTGGGCCACATGCCCTCAAAGATACGCATGGTCCATTTCCAAGTATTCGAAAGTTCTATGATTTGTTGGGGGGCCAAGATCATGTCCTTTCTAAGTGTTCTATCCTGTGCCTCTTCCTGGCCACTAGGAGACCAGGAACAACTAGAAACGAGCACACTTAGAAACGGCCTGTGACGAGCAACCATGACAGCGCTGGCAACTTGTTCCATCCTCGGACAGGGCGTGAGCCGAGGAGAAAAGAGCAAAAGCAGCAGCAGAGGGAGGGGCGAGGCGCTCATTGTTTCTCTACCTTGCGCTCCTTATCCTCAGCCTGAACGGCCTCCAGATCTCGCACGAAGCAATATCCTTCGAACCACTCGAGCTGTTCTGTCAGCCATGAGGACCCTCGCACGGGACGCCTGATCAACGCGGGCCTCTTGAGCCGCCAAAGCCACTTGCTCGTCAGCAACAGTGTTGCCTAAGGCTAACCAGTGGGGCTCGCGCTGAGCCAAACCTTCTGCTGTGAGATGAGATGGGGTCTGCAGCACAAGGATCTGGCTAAGATCTCGAGTGGTCTGGAGCTTGCCGAGTCTAATCCAGAGTTCTCCTGTCTGGCGGTCAAAGACCTTCTCGTGCCAGCCGCGCATGACCGACTCGATGTCGGTCACGTGCACAACAGCACCGACGGTAAATTCAATCGTAATCACAAGTGCCAAGAGTTCCCCACAGGGACAGTCTTTGGCGATCCAGGGAGGGGGCCCCTGACAGGGGCAGAAATAGAACACGCGTTAAAACCCTTTGTTACAGCAATACATACGCCAATTCTACGCAGGTGCGGGTTTCTGGACTCTGGGCCACCACTGGCGTCCCCAAAAACAAGCAAAGGGTGACCCTTGGACCCATTACCAATGGAGCAAGGACCGAGGGGCAAACTAATATCACTGCACAGCCATTGTTCTGACCTTGGTGGCGGCGGCACTGCCGTCCACGACGCTGGCAAAATGCCGCGGAGCCAGAAACACGCTTCTGATTCATGCTGCGCCATTGCCTGAGATGCGAGGCAATCTGAGGCCACATACGCTCGAGCTCCGATGTTCTTGTCGCAGCTCCAACTACCATGGTAGGGCGTCTTTGGGGCCCTCTTACATCTAGGGCATAGGTTGCATGAGTTACTCTCTATGTCGTCGGCAATTCTCTGTCGGGGCCAGGTGCCTCCAACGGCCACGTATGACATCATTTCTGATAGGTGGCGTCCCTTCGGGCATGCCTCTAGGTTACGAGTGCATTGGCGATAAGTGCGATTGTCCGCTCCTCCCTCCAAACCAGAGCCGCAAAAATGAGACAAGGCCTGTGCCCATTGTTGACGCTTGATCGTGGCCCCAAACTCCTGAAAGCAGGTTCGAAAAGTCAGTTTCGGGTCCCAAATCGCGTTCGACGATACAAGCTTCTTTGGGAAGGTCACCTTGGGGACGGGTGCCCCACCTCCGTGGCCGAGACAGGATCCCACTGGAATCGGAGCCGATACGATATATAATTGCTGACATGGGGCCCTTAGTGTGCCTTTGGCGATGCGCTACATCGAGGATAGGAAGATGCGAGGCCACCTTGGGCCACGCTTGTATCACTCCGCACGAAGCCTCGGCGTGGCGAACCAGGAGGTGAGCCAAAGCCTACGCCACTCAAGCGACATGCAAGCTCGACTATGCATGGTGTTGAAACGGAGGTCGAGGGCACAGGCGAGGCATCTCCCTCGACGACGCGGCGTGGGCCGTCCTCTTTGGTTTCATCTGGAGCATGTGAGCACCAAAGGCCCCGTGGATCTGGTGCCCGTAGTGCTCCGCGGGCTGAACCCCCGCTGATTCTAGCCTCATAGTTGGGTGATAACGGGACGAAGCTCGGGCGAATCGGATCATCTTCATGCGCATCGTGGTGTTCTTCACGGTGCGCTTAGTCTGTGTCTCCCATGCTTGTTGATTTGATCTCAGATCTAAACCCAAGCAGTTGGTTTGCAGGACTGGCGCCACCGTGATCCCCTTCCTCTTGAGGCAGGCTGCAGCATATCGCGCATCCTTGTGATCTGAGCAACGTCACGCCCTTGGAAGCAACCCCCAGGCCTGCCCAAGCCAAGCCCTCGCTCGTGTGCATGAGTAAGTTGGACCAACCTTCTGCGCATAAGCTCGCGGGAGCCACGAAGGTGTTGGGACAGGTCGTCGATCCACAGCCGCATGTCGACCATGGGATGATTGGAACTTAGACGGCCGAGGGTTTTAGTAAGTCATACAGCGCGCGAACCTGGTCCCGCTGCGCAACCCTTGGATCACGCTGCGAGTCGGCTGGAACGCCTCGGAGTAGCAGTCCTTCTGCGCCAGCGCCCTGTGGGCGACGCACAGTTGCAGCTCGAGCATCAAGGTGATCGGCGGGAAGCCGAGGGCCAGTGCTGCATGCGCGAGCTTCAGCTAGCAGGTGCTGTCCTAGAAGCTCTTGATATCCACCAGGCCGTGCCCGAAGGGCACCTGCAGCGCGCTGGCCACCGCCTCGCCGCGGATGCGGAGGAAGCCCTCGCGCGGGGACGAGTTGCCAGCCACTGCCGCATCCCAGTGGGGCTGCGAGTCCATGGCCCACTGCTTGACCACAGGCTCGCGCGCAAGCGACCAAATGCGGGGCATCATCTCAACCAGCCCGATGGTGCGGTGGCGGCCCGACTTCTTCGGCAGAAGTCGGCCGACGATGAGCATCAGTTGCAACGGCCACGCGGCGCAGGCCTCGACGGCCGTCGGCTCGTCCGCTAGCTCGTCCAAGCCCTCCTGAGGGAGCCTCTCGACTTCAAGCGGCGACAGCTTGTCGACGCCTTGGCCTGCGCGTGGCCGCATCACATGAGCAGGTGCCTGCACCTGAGCTCCTGCAAGGGGAGGGATCTCCTGAAATTGAACCTCGACCCTGAATACGTGCGAAACCATTCAATTGGGTTCAACGAATGATCATGCCGCATCGCTATCAGAACTACTTCATGGCACGCGAGTGTTCGACTTAGCAAGTTTCGAGGACGATTTCGTGGACTTCATGACCTCACAGTAGTCTGTCTGCAATGTTGTCCTGTCTCAGAGCGGTGTGTCTCATAGCACGTTTCCTATCGCCGTCTCCACCTGTGGGGCGCGTGCGGACTCCGCGCGCGATCGGACCTGACCTGACCTGACCCGAAAGAAGTCCATCGCTTCACCTTGTGGTCAAGTATGTCCCTCGAGTGATGAAGGATGCCCCCAGCCAGACTCAGATCCTCAGCAAGAGGTGGAAGCTTCTTCAGGCTCTTGTGTAAGACATTGACTGCGAGCGCGGAACAGTCCAATCGCGAAACTCCTCGAAGGATGCATTGATGGCGCGCCCACGGGCGCGACGCTCGGCACGTCCACTGACCTCCACCATGTCCTTGAGCACGCCGAACTCAATGTCGCGTGGCCGACTGAGCTGCAGCATCCACCGGTCCCAAGACCACTTAGTCGTGGCAGGTACAGCATGGACGTGAGCAGGATACTGTGTGGCCATGCGCTCGCATGCTTCCTGTAAAGCTGCGCACTGCCGAGCTCCATTCCTGTTCCCTCGATGATGTAGGAGCCTCGCCAGAATTGTGTGCGCTCGAGCTCACCATGCACTGCACGAGTCCTGTAGGGGAGCTGCACGTACCTTCTCGGCCACATGCACCTCGTGGACGGCAAACCTCGGGCCCACCGCCCGACTGGGCGCACGATTGCTATGCGAGATGCCTTTGTGGTCGGCACCGGTGTGCTCGAGCGTTCTGACCCAGGCAGCGAAACGCCCACCGACCAAATCCACATGTCGAGCGCCTACCTTGCAG